AGGGGTCGTGTGTGTGTGTGTGTGTGTGTGTGTGTGTGTGTGTGTGTGTGTGTGTGTGTGTGTGTGTGTGTGTGCGCGCGCGTGCATGTACGAGATGTTGCTCTTTGCAAGAACACAGTAAAAAAAATTAGCTCTTCGTCTCTGACTGGTTGGCCACCCCTGGTGTATGACATGGGAGCTTCCACTCCAAAACGCACACTGTAATTGAGTGTTGGTTTTCTTGCGACAGATGCTACTATGCTAACACACAACGTTGGGTTTTGTTAAAGCAGAGAATGCAAACAACAATTGGTTTTATGCATTTACAGTCGTGCTCCTACGGGTTGTAAACTTAGGAGCACAACTGCATTGTCTTCAGTGGATCTCAACCGCCATAACTCAAGTGCATCACAAACCTCGAAAAGGCAACATCAAAATTCAAGCGTTGGTGAGAATCTCGCTTTTCATCTACCGCCCATTCTGAGCGGTGGATGACACATTCTCCAGATTATTCATTAACTAGTGGTGAAGGTTGCCATGCTAAGTGCCAACCTGCTCATCTGGAGCCTTGCGGGGGCTGAGTGAGTGTTAAGAAATATGTTCAAGGTCAATAAAACATGCCCTGTGCTTGGTTCCAAGTAAGGAGGAAAAACTGCTCCATGTGTTATGTGGAACCCCTGAATTCCAGCGCAATTAAGGCGTTATCATTTGGAAAAGGATCCAAATTGAGAGGACCAAGTAACAATATCTCAACATCAATCAGAAAGAATGAAAAGTCAAATGTTTTGGCTTCATGTGGAGTGACATCACATGTTAAAAAAACAGCAGTTTTCTTTATATTAGGTCATCAATATACAATATATAATTTATTTCTTTCAACTTTTGCATGGTGTATTTAAAGGTTGTTCAAATGTTGCTCTTACAGTGACGGTATTTTGATTATGGTGACAGTTTAAGAAAGATGATTTACAGGGCTGTTCCATTGTCCCGGAATAGACCGTGTATGACCTTGTCCCTTTTTTTGAATTAGCTACCGGAAAAAAAAAACTGGAGAAACTATCATACTAAATGGTAACAATGGACACATCCTGTATCTGTTTGCTATCCATGCATCCATTTCCTATAGTGCTTATCCTCATGAAGGACTTTGGGTGAAAGGCACGAGACACTATGTGGACTGGTTGCCAGCCAATCGCAAATAAACATTCACACCAACAAGTAATTTCGAGTCGTCAGTCGACCAAAATACCTGTATGAATGTAGGACAACGGTCAAATGCCACACGGCAAGGCCGGGGCTGAGATCCGAACCCATAACGTCTGTACTATGAGGTAGAAATACTAATGGCGAGCAGCCGCAAGGCTAAATACAGCAGAAAATCCGTTTTGATTATCACGAGCATCATTTTAGGACAAGACACGGCCGTGAAGTCGTGCTTGATTCATTGTGAGGCCACTGGCGAATGTGCGTTGAGATGTGGACACGTCAGGCCGCTGCCAGCAGCCACTAGTCCAATGTCACACTCCCAGCCTGCCCCATTCATCATTTCTCCTGTGAGTGGATATAAACACAAATGCGCTTTTCAAAGATTAACAATGATAGCAGCGCTCCCACCTCACATCCCAGCCATGTGACCTTCGTCAAACTGTTATCATTCTGGCAAATAACAGAGATTGATACAATCTAGCGCATAGAGTCGATATTAAAGCCGCCAAAACACATCACAGCCGACTGTACCTCTCATAAAACACCATGCTGCGCCTCCTTCCGCTCGCCTTGTCAGGACTTATTACAAACTCCTGACGGAGAGAAGTGCACGCAAGGCCAAATCCCCGTTTTAAGGAGGAAACATTACGACAAAAGAGCCGGGCTGTTGCACTGAAGACGTGTCTGAAATTAGAACGTGTCGAGGACACGGCCCGTGCTGCATCTATCTTTAACTATCAAATGAGAAGGCTCCACATTCTTGTGCAGCTTTACTGGGGCTCCAGTTGCAAAACCCTAAGCCTCGTTCCTGGCAAGTGCCCAACACACATGAGTCTCTCCCACCCTGCCAACCCCAACCCAGCTCTCTCTCTCTCTCTCTCTCTCTCTCTCTCTCTCTCTCTCTCTCTCTCTCTCTCTCTCTCTCTCTCTCTCTCTCTCTCTCTCTCTCTCTCTCTCTCTCTCTCTCTCTCTCTCTCTCTCTCTCTCTCTCTCTCTCTCTCTCTCTCTCCCCCACGCTCGCTCTCTCTCTCTCTCTCTCTCTCTCTCTCTCTACTACTATCACACTGGCAATATTGGAAAAGAAATGCCCTTAAAAGAGAAAACCGTCGCATACATACCATTATCCATCGACAGCCTCGTGGGCCAAAACCTGCCCAAAGACATGGCAAGGAAGGCAGAGCCAGATTGTTTTTTTTTTTTTTTTTTTTTTTTTTAAACGTTGGCAAATATGTGACAACAGTTCAGAAGAAGTTTTATGTGGATCATTACAGAATTGGAGAACTGCTTCTGTCCACCTCATGATATTTCAAAGAATCCATGCATAAAATTCATGCGCAAGTCATTCTTAAATATCACTGAAAATACTAAATAAATCTTGAACCCCTGAAATGTTTCTTTTCTGATGTGCTTCCCTGTTGATGACCTTGCACGTCAAATATAACAAATTTAGTTTGAAATTATTGTTAGTGTTTTTTTTTTGAGCGGGGGAGGGCATGGGGTGGGGACGATTTAGTTGAAATGTCCTGCTTGCTTGGCTTTAGACAATCAGGATTTTGGAGCTGATTACCAATCACAAAAGTTAAAAGAAAAAAAAAAAAAAAAACAATAACCGATCACCGATCCAATCATATGCCAGAATAATGTAGTCTATTTAAACTATATGAGGATTGCAAAAATGTGCATACAAGTGACGGACATTGATACCCATCCATCCATTTTCTGATCCGCTTATCCTTACAAGGGTCGCGGGGCATGCTAACCAGTCGATCACCGTGCTGCCCCATTGATCGATCTACAAATTATAACATTAAAATCGATCCCTGATTTTGCACAAACTGCAAAATATCTGCCAATCTGATCCAGCCAATCAGATTCGTGTAAAGTCTACCACTTGTAATTGTTAAAAAAATTAAAAGTGTAGTAATTATGCTCTGAATTTATGTCCTGCAACATAAAAAGGAACAGAAAAAAAAGAGTGACTCAGCAGTAGTGACATCAAACTCATCTTTTACTTATCTTTTTTTTTCCAATCTTTTCAGCTGTAATGGAGTGTGTGACTCAACCCAACACAACCCTGTTACTCATATGGTCAGAAAAAGGCATTAATAGTGACGTTTTTAATTCATTATTATATCACTGTTTCTTCTTGACCAGACAGAAAAATGTTGGCGTCTAAACTGTCCTCAAAATTCTGGAATTACACAGATATTGAACAATATACACACTAGGTATACAACAAGCCTACTTTCGTACGAAAGTTCATTTCTATCCTTTCTGGTGAAAAGGAACACATCATGGTGTGACATTCCTGTACACAAACACATTTACTCGAGATTCGGTCCGTTGCATGATTGCGGCACATCGCAGCTGTTAACACCGATTGGCCAGGAGTTATTTTTTGCATCTTGTTACTATAAACTACACTGGCTTCCCATCCTCTGAGCCAGAGAAAGAAAAACTTAGCCTGAATTGCCACACAGCGCTGTCCTGATCAAGATTAGTTTGGGCTTAAAAGAAGCCAAAAGTGAGCATTGGTTGGCTTAATTTTTTCATTAGCAACCGTATTATTGTTTTTGCACATACAAAAACAAATGCATGCATAAAATGTGGAGCGAATAATATATGTATTGTCGTGTGTGGGTGCCTTTGGGGTGGTGTGTGATGTCAGTGAGACTGTGAGTCAGTGTCCGGGCATATGCTGTGGCTGACAGCAGCTCCTGTCAAAGTGTGCTCTTTGGGTTTATGTGTTGCTGTTGTCTCAGCGTCCAATAAATGGCGGAAAAGTGCATCAGCGATTATGGCTCACTTTTCTCAAGTGTTTATTAGAAAGAAAAAAAAACCCACCAATGATACAAATGCTATTTCTTAGCCTGTCTGTGGCATTTTGCATTGTTTGGCATGAAACCAAGCAGTCTTTCCTCAGGCAAAGCTTTGTGGTTGCTCATACGTCAAAGCAAAAAAGAAATAAATATCTGCTCATATTTTGAAAAAAAAAATCATAATTTTGGTTTTATATAGATGGATAGATAGCTAGATAGATCCATCCATTTTCTAACCCGCTTTTCCTCACAAGGTGCGTGCTGGAGCCTCTCCCAGCTGACTTCGGGCAGTAGGCGGGGCACACCCTGAACTGGTTGCCAAGCAATAGCAGGGCACATATAGACGAACAACCATCCGCACCCACACTCACACCTAGGATCAATTTAGAGTGTTCCATTAACCTGAGATGCATGTTTTTGGAATGTGGGAGGAAGTGGGGGTACCCGCAGAAAACCCGCGCAGGCTCGGGCAGAACATGCAAACTCCACACAGGGAGGCTGGAGCGCTAACCACTGTATACATATATACACACATTTTTATTTTTTGAATTTTTTCACACATAAAAACTGTGAAGAATTGTGGCAAACACATTAAAGTATGCAACTATTTGATAAAAGTAATGCTTGTGAAATCACTTAAAGGTGAAGAGAAATGTCAAACTCCGCTCAGAATTTCTTGAGCTGGGATTCAAACCCAGTACCTGAGAACTGCAGAATTAATATCCACTATCTACTATGCTGCCCAGCAAATTTCTAATTCAAGCCAAAAAGTTTGGGAAAGCCCCCTTCAAAGGTCATTTCAGTTAAGACAACGACGGGACAAAACTGAACCCACTCTGTTAATGCACGCTTGAGATTTTAAAATAAAAGCAACAACAACTGGCCGGTGCGCAGGGCGAAACACGTAAAAAAAATCCACAGCAGCCATTGTGGTCAAAAGGTAAAAGGGCATGCAGCGAGAAAGGCAACAGGCGCCTACTCTCGTATGCTCAGCATGCATCCTGCAGGAGACACCTGTGTGTAACACTAAACGCACCATTCCAATGTTAATAGCGATGTAAAAGTGTCATTTAACACTGCGTAGTGTCAGACTACACTCGGAACAGTCCCGGGCTAAGGTGGCGATTTGACTCCAGCTGCACGGCCACTTACCACAGTGTATTCCGAGGCATGTCACGCCACATCGTCCCCCCCACCCGGGAATCCCACGACGACCAACACAGCCGACCGTGTCCTGCAGCCCGCTATCAGGCTTCCTTCGTGACCGGGCGACGCATCGTTAGAAGCGGCCGTCCCCCTCTCGTCGTACTCGCTTGTGTAGTCGGGAATGTTCGCGCTTTACAAAGCGCGCACACGCACACGGGTGGCCTTTGCTAGATGACGTAATGCGGAATCTCGTTACTCGCGCCAGTGTGCCTCTTTTTTTAGGCTGCAGGATGTTTTAAGTTTGGGTAAAAAAAAAAAGGACAATATACCGACCCCTTTTGCTCAAGGTCTTCGTCTTGTTCTTCTTGTTCTTTGAAATTAAAGATGACTATGCAAAGTTTCCATGTTTCGAGACCTTTTGGACAATGACGTAATGTACATAAACGCGCCAAGCCAGGAGAGTTTTTTTTTCCCGTGGGTGGCATTGGTTGAAAAGACAAATATTAAAAAAAAACAAAAAAACGCAGAGATGATCTCATTCAGAATTGGTTATAAAATTACTAGTAATTTTTTTTTACATATTTCATGCATTATTTTAAGTAAAATCACCGCAACTGTAAATAATTAATAAATAAGAATAAGAAAACCTTTATTTGTCTCGCAATTGAGAAATTCGCAATCTACAGCAGCAAAATTGGAAGGAAGAAAGTAGAAAAAGAAAACATGAAGTATTTGCATGCACAAAATAAATGGTTTAAAAAAATGCAATGTTCACAGTACAGAATGCAATGTGAAATATAAAATATAAGATATAAGCATATATGCAACTGCATATATGCTGCATAAGGTGGCTGTACAATTTACAATGGGTGAATGTGGGGTGAGTCCAGGTTTTCACGTGCATTTATTCAGCAGCCTGACAGTAGTCGGCAGGAACGCGCGGCGGTACCTCTCCCTCTGCCTGAAGGAGCTGCCCAGTGGTGTCAGGGTGGCCTGGAGGGGGTGGGAGGGTCTGTCCATCATAGCTGTTAGCTTAGCTAGCATCCTCCTGTTGTCCACCTCCTCCAGAGTAGCAGCCCAGGACAGAACTGGCCCTCCTGACCAGTCGGTGCAGTCTCTCTCTGTCCCGGGCTGAGATGCTGCCTGACCAGCAGACTATGCCATAATGGATGGCTGAAGCCACCACAGAGTCATAGAATTACTCCACACTTATCAAAAATTGGGACATCGAGTAACTTGATTTTCGATTCTGTTTACAAAATTCCGGATACAAATTACTTACGAATGTGTCAGTGTGGCTTAGCCATTTCAGAATCATACTGGTTAATAATACAGAATGATTAATTCATTTTTAAATATCCCATTACATACATGAATAAAAGCGAAATGTATTAATTCAGGTAATTATGGAGTTGTTCGGCAGCACAGTGGTGAACTGGTTGCCTCGTCGGCCTCACAGTACAGAGATGTGGGGTTTGTTCCTGACTCCAGCATTCCTTTATGGACTTTGCATGTTCTCCTTGTGCCTGCGTGGGTTTTCTTCGGGTACTCCGGTTTCCTCTCACATCCCAAAAACATGTGTGGCAGGTTAATGGAACACTACCAATTGCCCCGAGCTGCGATTGTGAGCGCGAATGGTTGTTTGTCTATGTGTCCCCTGTGATTGGCTGGCAACCGGTTCAGGGTGTCCCCTGCCGACTGCCCAAAGACAGCTGGGAAAGGCTCCAGCACGCCCGCGACCCTTGTGAGGATAAAGAGGATTAGAAAATGGATGGATGGATGAAGGGAGTGTTTCCGACAGTCGGCAATGTTCATGAACGCCTCAGGGCCCTGGTGCGCAGGTCCTTGTTGCATAGCAACCGCAGCCGCAAGATTGACTGCGCTTTAGTTGTTTCATGTGAAACTTTGGAAAAGACATGTTGGCAACATGTCAGTGGTTCTTAAACTTGTTAGAGGTACCGAACCCAACCAGTTAATATGCGCATTCACCGAACCCTTCATTAGTGGAAAATAAATATTAAAAAATAACATATTTTTTACAAATTCAAGATATAAAACAAAATGCATTTATTAAAAACTGAAAAAAGTAAATAAAATTTCAAGAGATAAGTATACTTTTTTTTTTTTTTTTAATTGTACGACATACTATCACGACAGTCACATGCTGACTACTGAGCAAACTAAATTTCCCTCAGCATTGATTGGACAAGCAATGTAATGTGATCATCTGCAGCCAGTGATGGCCAAGCGGGCATGTCATAATTAATTGACATGTTGACGAGGGTGTGTCTTATCCTCCATGGCAGAGTCTCCGTCGAACCCTTGAGACCGATTCACCGAACCGCTAGGGTTCGATCGAACCCAGGTTAAGAACCACTGCATGTTGCCAAACCGGTGTGGTGTGAGCCAAAACCGTGTTATCCAAAGGTCCACTTTGCTTAGGTCAACGGTTCATTTACAAGTCGATAATCACTTTCACTTCCTGCCATGACAACGATACCGGTTGAGCTCATTAATTTATTAGTTCCGTTAATTCAGTGATGAGCGAGATCGGTAAATCACATGGCACTATCCGAAGATGGGTGAAGGTATCGATTTATGCTAGCGTTATCTCACGCAGGTTGACTCAAAACACGAAGTTTTCTGAGTGCTCAGTTAAAGTTCGATTTTTTTCCCCCTTCTGGTAAGCAATTATTTTATGTTGTACCCATTACAGGGATCCTTCACTGGTGGCGACTTTTATCGTAGATATTGGTGATCGTCGAATGCCTGATGTTGTCGAGACCCTCACGTCCCTTCCAAGAGGTCCACATGATGCTTTTCAACAAGGTCAGATTTAAACTGGACTGTAGGAATCCCATTACCACCAGTAAAAAATAAAAAGTGCACTCATGTAAAAGTACTGTTCATTTAGAGCTACAGTACTCAAGTTAAAGTAAAATGTAATCCTCGAAATAATTACTTGAGTACCGGTAAGAATAAATGAGTACTCACTCAACATCTCAACAGGGTGTCCACAAAATCTGGGCCTAATGGAGATTGTGGTCCCCTCAGCAAACCTTTCTCCCCTTGACTTCATCTTTTGGGGAATGCTAAAAAGTGAAAGTGCACTCGATGAAGATTACAGGTTTAAAATGGATCGAGCTCATCTGAATTTTGCAAAGCGCTCACATTATGCATTGACAATTATGGAAATCAAAATATTATTTATCAACATTACAATAAAATATAATTGTGCGAACCAGTCTCTCTCTCTCTCTCTCTCTCTCTCTCTCTCTCTCTCTCTCGCTCTCTCTTGATAGATAGATACATAGATAGAGTATATATATATAAACACACACACACACACACACACACACACACACTTTTCAGTTAATTTCTAGATACTGTGATGCATAGCTTTTACGGCCGATATTCTACAGTCATAGCCATACCTCCTGTGTCATTTTTAAAATTGAATATTAATATTGTGTCGTAGCTAGAGCCACCGTTCTATCTCTACAGTTGTATTTAATTTACATTCAACCATCCATCCATTTTCTATATTGCTGATACATTCACCGTATTCATATCAGCCATTTATGATTTGCTTCCGACCGACATCCCGTATTTCTTGTATCGATTGCTCAAAATGTTTGCCATTCATCACTTGTTCGTCATGTTTACCTCCAGATGGCGCACTTTCCCCATCTTGGCTCTGCTGGGAGTTTGCTTCTCTCTCCCTGACACTTTCAAAAACAAAACATGTCAGTCTATACGACCACACTCCCAAGCGAGAGTACGGAGTCGCAGAAGACGTTTCACGGCTAAATAATTTTTTTGTAATTACTTTGCCGATTCAAATTAATCAAATAGAGCAAGTGTTTGTTCCAAGTGCATCTGCTGCTTCCTGATGTTCATGCCACGATGGTTCTACCTCCACGTATATTTCAAGGGGCTTTGTTTCATTAAATGGTGACAAGTGTTTGTTTGTGATACACAAACGTTGAAGGCTGGTTGACAGCGCTCAATATTCTCAAGAAGCAGGCTTCCCGACCGTCTCCTTCGGACGACGTCGCACAAGTGCAACGCTCAACAGTCCCTGTCCAAGTGTCAGCAAAGCTGTTCACCGCATCCATGAGCTCCACAGGAAGATGGACAAAAGGCGTCAGCAGCTGGTGGACAAAAACTGACTGGAAAAAAAAAGAGCACAAAAAGTCACACTTTTATTTCTTATCAGCAGGAAAATGATCATGCATGTACTCACCAGGCCATGCAGCAACACGGCGAAACTTCAAGGTGACAACTTGCTGTGATTATTGCAACATACATTTTTTTTTATGTCGTAAAATATTTCCTTTTCCTCCACGGATGTTGCGCCAGAGATGCCGAGTTGATTGTGGAAGGCTTTGCAATTCCCTTAAGAGGTGAATTTTGGGTACTCCGACGTCCACCCACATCACAAAAACATCTCTGTGTAAGCTTGGCCTTCGATGAGTCGATTAATCGACAACTCATTGATTATCAAATTCATCGACAACTATTTGTGCGATACCAAACAAACAACTAAATTTGGTTAATAAGCAGTAATCAGGAAATATGCTTTAATACACTTTAATGCAAAATAAAATTGCATTTGATTAATTGATATTTTGGGCAATTGATAGAATAACTGGTTCTAAAAACATTCAATTGAGAAGTGTGAGTGTGAGTGTAAATGGCTATTCCGGGTCTACTCCACTTGTGGCCCAAAGTTAGCTTGAATAGACTTCAGCTCACCTTTACCTTTAATGACCAAATGTCAAAGAAACTGTCACTGCATAAAAAAAAAATGTGCAAAATACTCCTTTTACACAAGTTTGAATATAATTTAACCGTAGCCCGGTGGGCCAGTGGTTCGCGCGTTGACCTCACAGTGCAGAGGTACCGGGTTCAATTCCAGCTCCGGCCTCCCTGTGTGGAGTTTTCGTGTTCTCCCGGGCCTGCGTGGGTTTTCTGCGGGTACTTTGGTTTCCTCCCACATTCCAAAAACATGTATGGCAGGCAGATTGAACACTCTAAATTGTCCCGAGGTGTGAGCGCAGATGGTTGTTCGTCTCTGTGTGCCCTGCGATTGGCTGGCTACCGGTTCAGGGTGTCCCCAGCCTACTGCCTGAAGACAGCTGGGAGAGGCTCCAACACCCCCCACGACCCTTGTGAGGATAAAGCGGATCAGAAAATGGATGGATGGATGGTAGGATATCATAAAACCAAAATATAATAAAAGGACTCAGCCTATAAAAATGTCTGACACACTCTTCATGGTGAAGAATCAAAAAAGTGTCTTTTGCATGAATGGAATGAATAAGCGCCTGATTCATAGAGTATGTTAGAATAAGTGTCATTTTCTGTTCTTTGGTTGTAACACACACACACACACACACACACACACACACACACACACACACACACACACGCGCACGCACACTTTGTGTGTACCTTTCTAAAGACACTTCTTGCACATGTCTGACTTCCATTACGACTCATACATTATTCAATGAGAAACTACTGCATTATCAGTCCAGATCCAATGCTCATCCTCTGCAGACATACAATACAACATGAATGTTGTCATCCCTGCAACAAGCCATCAAGTACCACCACTGTTGAAGAAACTAAACAGTGTCCTTGGAGAAGCCACATACCTTATTGAGCATCTTGAGGCCAATCGTCAGCGTTCGGATGACGCCTTCGTCAAAGAGAAAAGAAGAAAAAGACGCCTGGAGAAGAAAATTGGAAATGATTCACAGTGGGGACAACTCGAGCGCTGTTGTGTTGTTCGGAAAGGTCAGTGTAGGAGACACACTGGGACCATTAGAGTCAAGTGCCACCAAGGTAAAAAAACAAAAAATCTGATCAGTTATCAAGAATTATAGCACACTTTAAGCAACGCATTTCTTCTCTTGGTGAAATTGGTGTGTTTGAGATGGGGCGGTCTTGTCTGGTACATGTGAACGTCTGGACAGTCAATGGCAAGGATCGATGTCATTCAAGCAAGAGACCACATTTTCACTTATGTCTGCAGCGCTTCATACACTAAACTGTGTTTTCGTGGCAAAAATCATACACACTCCGCCACCACATCGACACCTTCACAGGGGAATCCGAAGCTAACTTTGTTAGCTGATGCTAATCTGTCCGTCCAACAAAACTCAGTGCAGCTCTGCTTACCTCCTGGCTTTAACATGAGAACGGGCGTCGCACCAACAACGCTATGAATGTGAAAATGTTTGTTTTGATTGAGCAGAACAAGAGGCCCGGGTTAAAGATGTCTCTGAATTTGTTTGTCATTTCAAAGTGCAAATGGGCAAATAGGAGCAATTCCAGGGCAAAGTGAGACGCGGAGCTTGGACGACGACATCAGTCTTGTCAAAGCACAAACTGCCAACCTGATAGAGACGCTGGACCTGCAAACATGCATCATTCGTCAAATCAACACAGCACAAGCGAATGTAAAGTCTCGCTTCATTTATGCATTGTTTCAGTTTTCAAAATGGAAATTCTTTGTATCTATCTATTCTTTTTTTCCTTCAAGGCGAACGCAGTGTACTTGAAGCCACAGAATGATCTTGTATTGCTCGAGGAGGAGTTCAAGAAGATCAAGCCGGACATCGAGGTTGAAAATTGTCATTTGAAAATACACTTTTGGTTATTTACAAATTGAACCCATTTGAAACCTATTATCATTTTAGATGAGCAGATGTGATTCTAGATTATGTCATCATTTCAAGATTGTTTAGTGATGCTTGATAACACATCACCGGTGCAGATCTACTTGGACAAACCTCGTTTTCATACATTAAAATTGAGTGGACAATGAATGCCCGCATAGACCCGGTTTGGCACTCGCGAATTTGCCGATTCCTCCAAATAATTTTAGGAGGAACCCGTCCTCTGTTATTTTTGGAAACTCACCTACTCGCTGTTTCAGTGCTCATGCCAGAACAAGTACAGTATTGTTTTGGTGGCATCCAAGTGCAAGTGTTTTTGGTGGGCTTTTCATGACAAGGATGTTGGAGCACGTTAAAAAAAAAAACAAACACCAAACCGATCAGAAAATGGACCTGTCTATCTAATTGATTTAAACAATTTATTTATTGTTTTTTGTTTTCATTTATTGTACAGTTGACCACCACTTGGGATTGGGACCAGACTGGCCCATGTTTTCAGAAATAGTAAGATAATTTGCAGTTCTTGGTTGTTTGGTTTTACAGTTGATGGGTGGGCAGGCACTCCGGAGACCAAACAATTTGTACACAAGCAATTACAAACTCAGTCTTCCGTAACATGTCCCCTTTGAATAAATGAAAACAAGTCAAAGTCCAAAAAGTTGCTTTGTTGCGATTGCATGTTGTTCTTCATATGAAGTGCCAGTTTGCCTTGAACATCCTTCTCTCCGCCATGTTTTTAATTCACTTACCTTCAAAACAATTTGTCACCTCAGAGAAGAGTTAAACCATTTGGAAACGCTTGAGAAAAGCCTCTGCGCTGAAATTGCGGATGACGAGAAGACGCTCGCACGAGCGGAGGAAACTAACGAAAACAATCGGGTATCTGTTTTGCATGCAGTGGTCACACGGTGACCCTAGTGTTTTGCCCATCTGCCTCACAGTTCTGAGGTTCAATTTGTATTTTGAGAATCTAAAACAAGTCCACCATGATGTTGTGTGTTTTCTTTGGCTTTCTTCTGTGATTTTTTATTTTTTTTTTGTATTGTGTACCACAACTATAAATCCCAAAATAGGTCTTACTGCGTTATAGGAAAGTGCATGTCTGCTTGTCCAATCTCACCCATGCAATTGCTAAAGACAAGGTTTTATAAAGTCACGCAATACCTATGAAACACCACTAAGTGACAGTATCCTCCAAACACCTTCCCATTACCATTACATTATCTTTTAACCATCTTCCAATGATGATGCTTTCACTTAGAATTTAGGTATATAGTGGACGTCTTCTTTTACTACATAACAGCTTTCTTGTTAAATTTTTTCTACTTTTCATCTTGGAAGTCCATTGACAGCGCAAGAGGGATTGTGTTCAACTTTGTTGTGTAGAAAATCCGTTCATATTTTTCTTTCTCGGATTTTCAGATTAAACAGTTGAACTGTAAAGTTAAGGTGGAAATGCGAATCATTAAGACACTGAAAGAGAAAATATGTGCACTGCAAGAAGACATTGAGAAGACTCGAAGGAATGTCAGGCGAACATACCTGGAGTCATATTGAACGTTCGTTTTTTTTCATAAGTATTATTATTGCTGGTCTTTGAAATAATTTCGACTATTAACACGTGACTTTGTTGCACTTGCATTGTCTAAGCACATTGTTTGAAACATCCACAGAAACTGGATGGAGAAGCCAGGAGTCCTGCACTGACGAGCAGCTTCAGTCAAAGAAGGCACAACACACTGACTTGTGTCTGAATAGAAAGTAGTCCTGCATCAAATGGCTGTAAATACTATTTTGTGTGTGCGTGAGTGCATGGGCGCGCGCGCGTGTGTGTGCGTGTGTGTGTGCATGTGTGTGTGAAACATTTTAAATAAAAGCAAAACCTTGAAACTTCGATCGCATTTGTTGGTTTTATTTCAAATCCATTAGGCAAAAATCGTCAAATCTCTGCACCTCACCACGATAAAAGCAGATGCTCCACTCGGTTGCCACCATTGACGAGGAACGGGGGAAATAGCCCGCCAGCAAGTGACCCGAATCGCGACCCAGCACAGCGTCACTCGGGCAGAGCCGAAGCCACGGCAGCAGATCACCTTCACGGAAGTACAAGGTCAGTGGAGGCGTTGCCCCGTAACCTGCCGCACATTTCGTGCTTGAGCGTCAAGGGAAATTCGACACTCTCTTGTGGATTCCTTTCTTTATTCCTTACAGGGAGAGATGGAAATTCTGCAAAATACGCTGACGAATCAGGGGACAGTGCTAGAAGGAATTAAGGTATTGCAAAAAAAAAAAAGAAGATAGGAATTTCAGTGTTGGCCTTTTAAAATCTAAAGTTATATTTATTGTGAGGTTACTCGGTAAACAGCTATGATGGGCAGACCCTCCCAGCCCCTCCAGCCCACCCTGACAGCACTGGGCAGCTCCTTCAGCCAGAGACTGCCAGAGACACCTGCGCTGCAAGAAGGAGAGGTACCGCCGCTCGTTCCTAGGAGAGGTACCGCTACTCGTTCCTGCCGACTGCTGCAAGGCTATTGAATAGACGGTCTTGAAAACCTGGACTCATGCCCACTCACCCATTTTTAATATGTTTGTAAATATATTTTATATTTATTTATATACTTTTTGTCTCAAAATATATGTTATATTTTAAATTTATTTGTATACTTTTAGCCTTCTACTTTCTCCCTTTCATAATTTTGCTGCTGTGCTGAGATATTATAGGAAACGATAAATTTTGACGTGATAG